GTTACATATATGTATGTATATTCCCTGAACATACCATATACATTCACTGAACATACACATGTACATTCACTGAACATACCATGTACATTCCCAGACAATACACATGTATATTTACTGAACATACCAGGTAGATTGTCAGAACATACACATGTACATTCACTGAACATACCATGTACATTCCCAGAACATACTATGAACATTTAGTGTATTAACCCTGACAGATTCCTGGAACATACATAAAATGTTCATAATGGAACTCATGTATGTCCCAGGAATATGCATGTACATCACATGAATGTTCCAGCTATATTCTGGGAATATCAGTTTACTATGTGGGTACTACCCATCCTAACACTGAAAAGTGAATTTCGGGCCTCCTGGCTGTTAGAGTAGATCTCAATCTTTCCTTCTAGTCCTGCTATGACCCCTTTATCTGCGACAACCTCGAGGATTGCATATAATTCGACCTGAAAGACGTCCAGCCTCCCAACAAAATGGATGCTTCCCGATTGGCCTCTTGTCGTTACACTCCCACCCCGGAGAATCCTGTCCTGTGCGCCCTTGAGCCGTCCGGGTACCAACATTGCTCTCCTTTTCGGGCCGTTCTCCTTTTTCGCCGTTCTAGAAGCCCATCATTCCTTTGCTGGGATTTCCACATTAAACTTCCTTTCTAACCTAAGTCTGCTGTCAGCTGGGGCCACCTCTGCACCTAGGATTGGAATATCCCGACGCATGGCGGCCCCTATTCTTTTGTGTCCCTGACACGGGTAGGTGTCGCTCCTTGTGGAGCCGCATTCCATCCTCTTTAAGGCCGCGGCGGCCTCTCTGCCTATCCACACGGGTAATTCTGAGAGGCCTAGAAGGATATTCAAGGCTAAACTCGGTGTCGTCCTCATTGCTCTCGTCATCGCTAAACAGGCCAGTATTTGTAGACTTGCCAGTTTCTGGGATACGAAGGCCTACTCCACCGCTGGCCAACCGACCGCGGAGCCGTAACAGATCCTCGGTCTTATGACGGCAGTGTACAACCACTTCCTAACGTGCGGTTTCAGGCAACAATTTTTTCCCAGTGCTCGGCGCAGATGCCACATAGTGACGATAGCCTTCTGTATCACTTTCTCTTGGGGGTCCACCTGAGTTTAGTATCTAGGGTCACGCCTAAGTACTTGAGCTCCTCCGCGAGGGTAAGAGGCTTTCCGTACAACGTTGAGGCCCGATAGTCTCATAATTATCTTCTCCTTGTAGAGAGCATGGTCTCCCTGTTGTCGGGATTAACTGATAATAATAATCCCGCATCAGTGCACCATCTCTCTATTGTCCTACACAACCTGCATTCTCTGGCAGACAACGCCCAGAAACTTTTCCTTAACGAGAACGAGGCCGTCGTCTGCATAGGCCTGCGTGTAGAAGCCCTCCTGGTCTAGCCGCCGTAGGATCCGTCCATAACCAGACACCACCGTGGAATTCAACGATTCCCTTCCAAAAAACTCCCAATGAATACACTTTGCCTTGCTTGCAACTCGCTCATTTTTACTTTTTTTTGTTACGTCTTCTACTGTTGAGTGCGACAAAAGCTAAGTAAAGTGAAAAAATGATATTTCGAATTTCAACTGTGTTTAAATCAATTATTTTATTTAAAATGCATTTAAAACGCTCTCGATATTTTCCATAAGCTTTTCCAAAATCCGCATAAGCAACAACATTTCAAATAACTTACCAACACATTCTAATGCATGACGTCGCTCATTAGTATTACAAGAAGAGCAACATGAAGCTTGCATAACGATAAATAATGAGTTTAGAAATATAATTGACGGTCGTAAAACATTATCTGGTATACGTACTGCAGTATGTTCTTTGTTGAAATAACGTGTTTAACGGAGAGAACAGCGGTTTGAGTTGAAAATTGAAGCTTTGTTGTGACATTGTGTGACTTTAGCAGTGTTTCGGTGCGAAAAGTGACTTAGCCAAAAGTAGGCAAATTCAGTTTATTCCTCGAGTTTTTAGCCCAAGCTTGGTATAAAAATTGCACTGTTTTCCACACCTTATTTATAAGCTTTAGTGATACCTATCATATAGCCAAAAGTATTTTTCCAATTTTTCATTTTCATCATTTTGGATTTCAGAAAATCCCTGATAAAAAATATAAATCTGCATATGGCATGTAAAAACGCTCGTAGAAACTGATTAAAAATTGGCGTAATTCCTTTACAATTTTTAGGTTATTGACTGGTGTTCGTCACTTAATCGTAAATAGATCATTGATCCATAGCCTTTTATCGTGGACATTTGCTGGTTAGCCTAATCTCTTTCTTGGTCGCGTTCTGCATTTATAGTGGCTTTTCTGTTTATTTTCTGTTACTTGAGCTTTTCATAATTGGGAAGAATTTACGTAGTGTTAATGAAGCAGATTCCCATGGAGAACATTGTTGCCGCCCTTCTGGTCAAGTTTTTTTGCAAAGATCTCAGTTTCTGATAAGAATTTATTTTTTTTGCTTTTTGCCTGTACTCCCTAAGCACAGAGGAATGTCGCTAATTTTCAATCACCCCCATTCCCAATTCCCATTTTTAAACTCGGGAAATTATTATTCAAACGTTCTGCATATAATTGCCTCTGCCATTGTGCTTCGTACTGTGTTTTTCTCTTACTCGGATTGCTGAATGGTCCACTAAAACCTCATCAGCTTATGCTCGAGTTCAGTTTTCATATCCTATTAATAAAACGAGTTCGTTACGTATCAGTTAACCGCTCATTTAACCGAATCAGTTGAAATTATTTTACACTTTCCAATTGCACTTGACAATTGGATAGTACCATTATCACACTTTCTATGTGACTAAGCGAGCAGAAATCAAAATCTGTAAAAATCAATAATGTTAACATTAAATCCAGAAACAGCTATATTTTCAACAGAGCAGATAGGTATTCCACAGGGTAGTAGAACAAAAAGAAACCTTAACTAACTTTACACTGCTTGCCTAAACTTTCAGTCAAACAGGTAAAACGAGTTTAAATTCTCACTCGCTCAAACGCCAGATTCACAAATTTCCGCTGTCTAAACTGAATGGCGTGTTAACCGGAATTTAGCTCTATTTTGTAGGCATACCATACTTTTTACCGACCGGAAATTTTGCGCAAAATTCCGTTGTCTAACCGGGGGGACGTACGAACTGGACATCTTACTATCTCTGGGCATAAACAATGGTTTCTCTTTGCCTGCAGCTTGACTTGAATTGAGGTGAAAATTAGGCAAGCAGAAACTTCAGTCTCTCAATTCAGAAAATCTTCAATTTTCAGACTCTCAAAGCCTATTTTATAAAATGCCCGATACTTAAACTTTAAGGCGCATATAGCGACACTTTTACCTTCGTTGTACCGACACTATCCTGTGTGCTTGTTGGAAGTTTTACACAAATTGAATTGAAAATGTCGCCAACATCGACTTTTCAAAGTTGTTTTTGTCAATACAGACTTTTCGAAATATTCACTTATTCAAACATATTTTTGTATACCTGATCTGTATAAATTAACTAGCTTATAAGCCAACAGTTTATACCTTATTAATTTTTTTTTAATTTTAAAAACTTCGCTGTCTAAACTAAAGGGCTCATTAATCGGAAGATTCATCATATCTGAGCTGAAACCTGAGAGTCGGAAGTTTTACCCCAATTATGATAGCTATGGAACAAGCAAACATTTTTGAGAGTTGAACATTTTCCTCACTCAAATGCGATTGTGAAATATTTCTATATTTCTAAATTAGTTTCATCTAATTGAGTAGCTCAAAAACCGGAAGTCTTTCGGTCCTAGAGTATAAGCAAAGTTTCACTGAAATGCTAATAGAAATAACACAAGCAGAAACATTTGAAAAATGAGCAGTTCGCTCTCATATTAGGATAGCAGAAATTTTTGAGTGGACGTATGCACAGTTAAAATTTTCAATAACTGAAAAACAATTTTCAAAAATTTCCACAGTCTGAACTCAGCAGGTAGAACATGATACGTTTTACCACATTTTAATTAATGGAAACAATACCGTCTGCTGGCCAACAGCATCACTCAAATTGTGCTAAAAATGCAAAGGCAATTTTTAATTATTTCTGTTCTAGAAACTGAGCGGCGCATAAATCAGAAGTTCTTCAATGTTTGAATATGCATTATGCTTTCCGTCTTACAGAATTTATACTCAAATTGATGAAAAACGAGCCAAAGAGTGAAACGATATCAGCTGCTTACCAGCAGGTTCACTCAAATTGTGTTGAAAATGAGGTGGGCTCGTAAAAGTTTAAATGATCACTCAGTGAAGGGCAATTTTGAAAGTTTCTCCCTGCTTCAACTGAATGGTTTATAAACCGCCTGCTTCCTCGTTGCTGAGCAGGAAATATGCTGTTTGCTTGTAAGTAGTGTAACTCAAATTGAGGCACAAATGAGGAATGCAAAAGCTTTTGAAACTTGAAATTTTCACTCTCAATCTGGTCGTGGAAACTGACTGGCGCATAGACAGGAAGTTTTATCAACTTGTACCGGGACTTTTTTGTCTGATTTCGCAATTTGAAACATTTTTCGCTGTATAAACTAAAGGGCTGGAAAATTCCTTATATTTGAGCAGAAACTTGAGAACCGGAGGTTTTACTCCGATTATAATAACAAATGAAGCGTTCAAAGTTGATCATTTTCCTCTCTCAAATGCAATTGTGAAATATTTCTAAATTAACTAGCTCAAAAATCGGAAGTGTTTCGGGCTTGTCGCACAAACTATGGTCTCTACTTTTCCTAAGATTTAAAGAAATTCTGGAGAAAATAAGTCAAGCAGAAGTATTTGAAAATTCAGCTATTCCCCCTCTCAGCGGCAATTTTCACAAATGTTTCTTGTTTCCAGCAAAAAGAGAATTTAAAAAATGTTTGAAAAAGTTTTTAGATCATCGATCCGAACAAATGATTGGCCACCCCACAAATAAATTACCCAAAGTTTAAGTCAAATTCTTGTCAAATAAAGCTAGTAGGGATTTTTGAGAGGGTGCATGCAAAGTTTAAATTTTCACTAACTGAAAAATAATTTTCAAAAATTCCCGCTGTCTCATCTCAGTGGCTAAAACATGCTATTTTTTCAGTATATTAATGGAAACGATACTCTGTGCTTGCTAACAGTTCTACTTAAACTGTGGTAAAAATGAGTTGAGGGGAAACTTTTGAAAGCTGACCTTTTCGCACATTTAACTGCAATTTTCAAATCCTCCCGTTGGATCAACTGAGGGACGCATAAACCGGATGTTTTACAATTTTTGACTATGCGTAAACGTCTGGTTTTACGAAACTTGTAGTCAAATTGAAGAAAAAACCACCCAAGCAGAGTTTTAAGAAAAGAAGCTTGCAAGGGTTGAATTTGACCCCAATCATACGCACTTTTTAAAAATTCCGTACTACTAAACAGAGCGGAACAAAAACCAGAAGATTTACCATCTTTGAGCAGGGCTATACTTTATACGTGTTAGCAGCTTCATTTGCATTGAAGGAAAAATAAAGGTTAGCGAAGGCTTCTGCCTGTGAGCTTTCAAAGTTGAAAGACATGCTCAAGCACAGGCAATTTAAAAAAGTTGTAGCTTCTAAAACTAAGTGGCTTATGAACAAGAAGTTGAGCCGTTTGCGAGTAGAAAGTACCTTCTGTACACGTCGCAAGTTTCGGTCAAATTGAGGTAAAAATGAGGTCTACACAGTTTTCAGTTTTTTATCGCATGCTTGCCAAGTTGAAATTTCCACTCACACGAAGGCAATTTTCAAAAATTTCCAGTCTGAACTGAGTCCGCCGCAAACGGGTAAGATTAACCATCTTTTAATGGCAACGATATCATCTGCTTACCAGCCGCTTCACTCAAATTGTGTTAAAAATGAGGTGAGCAGAAGCCATGACGATTGCTTGCCTTTCAGATGGTCCTGTTTCATAAACTGAGTAGCGCACGAACTGGAAGTTTGTTGTGCTTCAAATAAGTCTTACTCATAATGAAGGAAAATCGGCGCAAGCAGACATTTTTGACGAGAAGCTTGTAAGATTAAGTTTTGACTCGCTATAAAGTGAAAAATTTATTTTTTCGATGTACATTATCAGCTAAATTAACTCATATTTCTAGCAGTTTCCTATGGCGATAATGGTTCATCAATCGGGACTAAAAAAATATTTTATGATCCTATAAAAATGCACGATATGCACAAAATGACCCAGAGAAACGAAGCATCTATTTTTATTGACCAAAAAATATGTGCTCATTATTTTCGAGAAATCTACATTTAGACATCTAAGGAAATAAATGTGTCGACCAGAATATTAGCAAATTATTTCTAGAAGAAAAATTAACTGATGTATCAATGTACTATCTATCATCGGATTCAAAAATAGTTCACAAAAGTCAAACCGGGTTTGAAAATCTAAATATTTTTCGGTAGAGTGCAACACTGCATTGGAAGACCGACCCTGTGCAATGAAATGACCTGCTCGCTCTCCTGATTTTACCCCTGTCGATTTTTCTCTTAGTTTTGGAGCTCCCTAAAGACGAAGATGTACCTTGGGCGGAATTAAAAAAAAACTTGAAAACTACTGCTCTTATGTATGCTATTGCGTACACCCGAAACTAGGCATCACTTCAATTGATAAGCAACAATAAAATTCCAGACACGTTCAACAAGTAGTCTCATTAAAAGAAGCCAATTGACGCTGGCTGGCCTCGAAGACGACCAAAACCGCATTCCTGAAATTAACTATTAAATCTAATTAAAGCAATTAAAAATAATGTAATGCTTTGTAATTTTGCTAATGGAAAATTGATTAAATAGATAATAACATTAACAATATTGCTTTCGTTGCACTTTCGGTTACTGTGAAGGAATGTTTAGATATCAAGTGGGAGAAATGCCTTTCGTTCAAATTCGCATCGGAAGAAAAGAGTTCAGAAAAAGCGTTCGAGTGTAGCCGGTTCCGGATATTTTCATTAATTTACAACCGCCGCTTTCGTACGACCGCCCACTAATTGCCTATCGAACGCTAAGTTTGCCATAAAAAATGTCAGGATTCCGTTTCTAATTGAACTACTGAGCTTTCTCACCCGCAACGGTATAAAATCCTCAACCCAAATCCCGGAAAACCCTGTCCGATAACGAAAAAGGCCTCAATTTTTCGCATGATCTTCCAATGGTACCGTAAAACCGTTGCGGTCAAAACTCCTTTCGCATCGGGCACCTCGTTTGAAGAAAGTAGATTTACAATAAAATCTGCATTAGCTATCTCATAACCGGTGAAATTGCAAGCGCTAAAGGTAGTATGGTATAGTAATAAGTTGCATAATGAGCTCCCATGTGAATCTATAGGCCAATTAAAAATTAAAAACATCCCTAAACATGTGCGGAAACCGTAACATTCGGGTGATACTTTTGGTGGCTTGTGTGGTTTTGGTGCGGTGCCAGAAAAGGCCTAACAATGTGTGTCCGAACTTCAGAGACTATTTTAATATGGCGAACAACAGCAATTGCTGGTATGATTTTGCAGCAGAGATGACTGTGGTGAGTACTACTTAGTCTCAAGCTCAAGTGAATTACCATGCAAAAAGTGAGTTTCGAATGGTGATAATACCAGTGACATTACCTGAAAAATCTTGCCGAGGCAAATTGCAATATAAAGCATATTTTACATTAATTTCATATTATCTGGTAGAACTCATTAAGCACTAGCAGCATTTGCTTAATTAACTACAAATGAGTTTCAAAGGTGACTAGGGTTTCTTACAATTTGTTCAGATAATTAATAGGGAACTTAATTTACATTTACCGTTTTCAATTAGAAAATAATACGTTTCTCTTTTCAACTGGTTTAAAGAAAAAGTCAGCTCTACATCGACAGATTCGTTCCATGCCTATCGCAAAAATTTTGGGAAAAATCTGTTGATTTTCGGTGGGATTTACCATATGTACACAGTTTAGAAACTTTTGCTCAGTAAAAAGTATTACCAGTATTACCTCTTAGTGAATTCGATAAGGGAAAAAATTCACGCTTGTCAACCAAGATCTTCAAGAGTTCAATGAAATATAGCCTTTAGAACAACATGAGATTCGCCAGCCTAAAGAGGCATTGATAAACAAGTATAGAGAGAGTAAGTCGTATGAAGGCTTTCACGGCCGGTTAAATTACATTTAAGAATGTTTTTCGGGTTTTGCAGCCGTGGTCTATCGGAATTTCTTCCTGACGTTTCGTCCACAACTGCGGTGGACATTTTCAAAGGCAATGAGGCAGTGGGCGAAGTGATCTCCCGTACTTTCCGACTACGACTGATTCAACTGCTGGATTCCCCGTTGTATTTATGCAGCCCAGCCGTGTGTGCTCATGCGTGGGGGATGGGTGGGGGTTCCAACGCTTCGGCGCACATGCTGTTTGGCGCAAAACGCGCTTCCAATCTGGATTGAGTGCCGTAATTTCTTCTTTTCTGTTAAAATTGTTTTGGTGTTTAAATATTTAGATGGCCTCTCTGGTGAGTCTCGGGTAGTATCTTTCAGATTGGTGCAGAATGTCAACTTCGTCGAAGCGTATTTGGTGGCCGTCTAGCAGTGCGTGCTCCGCT